TTTTTTGGGGATACATTTAGTACCCAATAAGAACTCAATGTTTCAGCGTATTCGGTTGGAAAACACGCTCAAGAACCCCAAAATACCGATAATTGGGGGGTACTGTTATATGGGAGCTATGCCGAAACGTGAACCAATATATCCCATCTTCGAACTTGATCTGCTGCAAACAAAAGACAAACCTATGCAAAATTTCAGCAACCCATCTCAATTCCCTCAAAACATAGCGTGATTACAACAGACGGACGGACAGACTGACAGACGGGCGGACATCGTCTAAGAATTTTACCCTGATCAAGATGAGTTACAAACGGAATGACAAAATTAATATACCCTTCATACTATGGTGGAGGGTATAATAAAGTTTTTGGGCCATTTCATCCCCTAAATATTAAGCGATCTCTACCAAAAACAACAGGGGTCGAACGCATCCTACATGCAAAATTTCGTGAAGATTGGTCCATAACTGTGGCCTGAATCGTGTTTACAAATTATAATGGACGGACGAACACACATGTCTAGATCGACTCAGCTAGTCGTGATATGACGGTCGGTATATTTAAAGGTGGGTCTAGGACCAATATTTCGCGGCGTTACAGACTCTTGGGGCTGCACAAAGCTATAATACCCTTACAACATAGTTGTGTAGGGTATCAAAAGATCCAACATGGGATGGACTTCAATTTTTTTTTTTAAGTTTTTAGTTTCTTAACAAAAAATATTTAAACCACCCTGTTATTTCTTTTAAAATTATATTGAAAATATTTATGTATGTATACATGCGTACGTAATTTTAAATTTTTATTTTATTTTTACGCATCTGAACGGATATGACTGAGGTGAATGTAAGTTAAAAATCCCCCACATTTTAAGACTTTTTCAATGATGTGTGTGGTTGTTTGTAGATAAGTTACGATGTTTGAAACACACAAAAACACCAGCCTTCATTTTGGGATAACATTTAGTGCGTTTTTGTATTTTTAGTTGATTTATGGCTACTGAAATATTTTTTTAATGTGAATCAACTTTTAACTTTTCAAAATTTTGAAAATTCAGGAAATATTTTTTTGTGTAGGAGGATAATTTCGAAATGCGATAATGATGGGAAAAATCAGTCAATTTTTAATAAAACATCTTATTGGGAAGTCACTTAGAATTTCCCATCAATTGAAGTCTGACATTCAATTATTTATTTCAAATTCATTGATTTATTGAGAATGCCACAGAAACACTTATTGATCACGTGTTTAATTGCCTACACACGAAAAACCTTTGGAATCCCCTGAACAGATTTTTTTTCTAATTGGAAACACCTTGTTGCACAAATTACAAATAATCGCTGGACTACAATTTTATTTATTTTAATTTCAAAAACTACAACTACAAATACAATATTACAGAAGTGCTTGTAATTAACAAGGTTGAAAATCTAGAACAACTAAATATTCCAGTTATTTAGAAGCCCCAAAGCAACAGTTTATGACAAATATTATCTGGTTTTATGACAAATTCATTTCGCTAATCTCAAACCACAAAAATATGGCTCATATGTGTAATTACAAAATACGTTTACAATTTCAATTAAAAAATTCTGAGTGATTAACACGAACGAACAGTTGTAAAAAACTCCCCTAATTCCAGAAAGGAATCTAGCGGAAATATTACATAGAAAAAAATTCCAATAAGAATGTGTCACATGTTTCTTTGTTTGTAGGGTGCAAAAAAAATAGTTTATAACCATACACTCCCCCCCCCCCCCCCCCCAAATTTTAGGCCAATCAAAATGATTCATTTGAATTTAAAAAAAAAAACCATTTTGAAACCAAAAAATGTGAAAAAAATACAAAAAAAAATCCCCTCATAAAATTTAATAATTTTCATAAAGGAAATAACGGATTAATTTATTTAATAAAGACTGTCAAATTTAGCATATTTATGTAGACTGCGTCCAATACCCGTCCGTATATAATTAACACAATTTTTGTGTTTTTTTTAATTTTGTATTATTACTTAATTTCATTCAATACCTAAAATAGATGCTAATTTGTGCAAATTAAATTCGCCAAAAATAAATATTTGTTTTTTTTCTGTTCTGCAGTTAAACGTTTTGAATTGGGAAAGAGTAAACAAATGACAAAAAATATGACTTGTTATGATAAAACATGATTAGGCATGCGCAAATAACAATTAGAAGGTCTTTATATGGGTAAAAGACATTCGAAACCAGTAAGGAAAGTTCAAAAGTCGGACGGGGCCGACTATATGATACCCTTCACCACTTTGGGTACATACAAGAGATGTTCGGAATCGAATCGGACGAAATTAAATGTGCTATCTATTGAAAAACCCCATAAACATACCATTTTGAAATCAATGAAAAATTAAATGTCAAGCGGGCCGACTTGGATACTTTGGTGCACCATCTATATGAAATCGCTTAAAATTATGTATGGGGACTATATATAAACACATGGACCTAACTGGGCAACCGTTGCATACACCATTTGTTTCTGGTTATCATTCTATTTTCAATTTAATACCCCCTGCTTAATTTCGTGTGAATCGAACAAACATAGGCCCTTCGGTGCACCATTTACATCAAATCGAAGAAAATATATATAAGACCTATATCAAAATCTGAACCGATTTCAACAAACCTTATCACACATCATTTTTACCTCAATTACATTCGCTATGCAAGATTTTGCTCAGTCGGACAAATATTGGGAGTTTGGTGCATCATTCACATAAAATCGGACGAAACTATGTATGGGAGCTATATCTAAATCTGAACCGATTCCAACAAAACTTCGCAGACATCAATCTGAAACTAATTCAATACTCTGTGCAAAATTTTGTCTCAATCCAATCAATTTTGGGAGTTTGATGCATCATTCACATAAAATCGGACGAAACCATATATGGGAGCTATATCTAAATTTGAACCGATTCCAACAAAACTTCGCAGACATCAATCTGGACCTGATTCAGTGCGCTGTGCAAAATTTTGTCCCAATCGTAGTTTGGTGCATCACTCACCAAAAATCGGAAGAAACTATATATAGGAGCTATATCTAAATCTGAACCGATTTTAACAAAACTTCGCAGACATCAATCCGGACCTAATTCAGTACTCTGTGCAAAATGTTGTCTCAATCGAATCAATGTTGGGAGTTTGGTGCATCATTTACAAAGAATCGGACGAAACTATATATGAGAGCTATATCTAAATCTGAACCGATTATAACAAAACTTCGCAGACATCAATCTGGACCTAATTCAGTGCGTTGTGCAGAATTTTGTCCCAATCGGACAAATAGTGGGAGTTTGGTGCATCATTCACAAAAAATTAGTCGAAACTATATATATATAGCTATATCTAAATCTGAACCGATGTTAACAAAACTTCGCAGACATCAGTCCGGACCTAATTCAGTACTCTGTGCACAATTTTGTCTCAATCAAATCAATATTGGGAGTTTGGTGCATCATTTACAAAAAATCGGACAAACTATATGGGAGCTATATCTAAATCTGGACCGATTCCAACAAAACTTCGCAGACATCAATCTGGACCTAATTCAGTGCACTGAGCTAAATTTTGTCCCAATTGGACAAATATTGGTAGTTTGGTGCACCATTAACATAAAATCGCACGAAACTATATAGTGAGATATATCTAAATCTGAACCGATTCCAACAAAACTACGCATACATAAGTGTGGACTTGATTCAGTGCTCTGTGTAAAATTTTGTCTCAATCGGACAAACATTGGGAGTTTGGTGCATCATTTACATAAAATTGGACGAAACTATATATGAGAGCTATATCTAAATCTGAACCGTTTTGTGCCAAATTTCGTCCAAATCGGATGATAAATGCGACCTGTAAATGCGACTCAAAAAGTGATTCTATGCATATTCTCAAAAGGAACCATGGGTCTATCTCGATTCCTTTTACCTGTTACAAACATATGCACAAAGACATAATACCCTGTACCACAGTGTGGTGAAGGGTATAAAAAGGACTTTAAAACAACCAGTATTTTCAAAAGATTCACTGGAAATGGAATTTTTTTTAAAAGGCGTGGATTTTTAAAAGAGTTAAGAAAGTTAAGTGTGGTGACAAAATTTGTATTCTATAGCGTATATATTTGCCCATGAAGAACAAAGACCCGATAAGTTGATAGCATATCCCAGAGGATTGGTTGACCTTTAAATTGATACCAATTATATCTTATGTATTCAGATGTGGGAGTTACACTTAACTATTTACAGGTGCTTACGTACTGAGATATTATTTAGTAACCCATTACCACACTGGAGGGCGGAAATATAGAGCTGATCGCTTTGAAATGTTCCATTAGGTTCCAGTAGTGGTTAAGGACACGACTATAATTTTCGGTGATGATCAGATAATAATTTTGGTATGAAGTGGACCGAAAATGTATTTTTTTCGAGTCGATCTATAGGCCACAATTATAAACCGAACATCACAACACAACCCACGGACTGTTCTGAATATTAGTAATATTCGGAAAATATGTCAGGGTAAGGAAGAGGTGCTGTTGACCTCTAATCGGGCAAGAGGGTGCAACTATCACGAAATATTGCAAGGCTCGGAATAATAATCCGCAGACAGTTAGATTATACTGCTCCGCTCACTGGTTTTTATATGGTTCGATATTTGTGATCCCATTTAGTTATTTTTTTTAATAATTTGACAATTATTTTTACATTGTCCACAAATTTTGTAATTCCTTTCAACTGATGATAAAATTACAGAATATTATTTGCAATTTCAAACATTTAAATTTAAATTTTTTATAATCAAAATTTACATCATACGATTCGAGTCCATCCTCTTTATCATGATATGGTTTTAAGGTTATTATTTGTTTCAAGCCTTACGGCCAGTAACGTTACACAACTGCTGGTCAAAATGTATGTCACAGAGATGTCAAAAACACCATCTGGCACTTGAGTTTGTTCTCGACGCAATGAATGACATGTGGGGTGGTGGTGGTGTCGGTGTTGGGCAACAGGTATGGGCCGTTGATACTTTGAGCCTTTCATAATAGTACATGTAGCTTGCAACCACTTATACACACAAGGGCCAATGTGTGCGTGTGTGTCTGTGCGATTGCCTGATAAACAAAAGCTTTTTATGACTCTTTATTAAAAATTTGTTATCGACAACAGATTGAACTGTATTTAAAGGGAGTGTTGATGTTTGATTATTTGGAATGGTTAAATTTTCCATGTTTCAAGGAAATGTATTTTTTGTGGAATATTCGATAATTTTATAATGGTGTGAAATTAAAGCCATTAGTTGATTGGACGCATTAAAGTATCACATCATTTCAACAAACTACATTCTTTACAAATTACTGTACAGAGTGGCAGTAGTGGCATAGCTCCCCCCTCCCCCAACCCTTTCAATTTCCCCATCAACATAATTATGAAGTAGCCTATTTAAATGTCATGTCAAAATAACAACAACAACAACCTCCTCCTCATCATCATCGTGGTAATGAAGTGCCTTCGATGAGACTAATAGTTTTATGGGCTTATTAAGTGTTTCGTAATATTTCAAGTGGTTTTAGGGGAAACTACTACTGAATATTTTTTTTTTTTGAACGAGAATTAAAAAAAAAATCGAAATTTAAAATAAGTTACTTCAAATTTAAAGAAAATAAAAACTTGGTTATGAAACATTTTAAAAGGGTAGAAATTAAAAGTATTTAAATCAATACGGATTTAATAAATTTCAATACGATGTGTTTTGGTTTAAAGCGAAAATTCTTAATCACATTATTATAGCTTTCTTTGTAACTGCAAATAAAGCAAATCATTTTTTAAAATTGGATCTTCAAATAAACTCCACTCAACTGAAAAATTCCACTCACTCACATACCCAAATTATCTGTTCAGAATATTCTTAGAATTTTGGTTCCAAAACCATCAATATCGTAAAAAATATATTTCAGAGTAATTTCTTCTTTTAATATGAGTTATGGAAATTTTCTATATTTTTGGGAAGAAATTTGTAAGCCAAAAATGCATTTGACGTAGCTGCCGATACAATTCTCGGAAATGAATTGTGGATTTTTTCTGAAATATATGAAAACGTGGGTTTATAAAATAATATTATGAAGGACTATAAAAGAGTGGATTTTCTAAAAAATATATATTTTTAAGGATTAATTAATTTTTGAGGACACAAGCGTGGATTAAAAATATTCCAAGCGTGGATTTTTCTAAAAAAATATTTCAAGCGTGGATTAAAAAAAATACAAGTGATACGATTTACAAAAACTACCACGCGAACTAAAAAAAATAAAACTTTCAAGCGTGGATTTAAAAAATATTTCAAGCGGGGATTAAAAAAAAAATAAATTTTCATTGATTTTTTTCATGATTTTTTCTTGTACAAAAATTTAGCGTGGCCAAAAGATATTTCAAGCTCACTTTTTATACATACACACATTTTACAAAATATTTAGCGTGGATTTAAAAATATATCTCAAGCGTGGCTTTTCTAGAAAATATATATTTTTAAGGATTAATTAATTTTTGAGGACACCGATTAAATAAATATTTGGGATTTGTGTTGTGTCGGTTTTCAATTGTGGATTAAAAAAAAAATAAAACTTTCAGCGTGGATTTAAAAAAACACGGGGATTAAAAAAAAAAAAACAGTGAAGGAAAATATTTAAAGCGTGGATTTGGAAAAAAAAAATATTTCAAGCGTTGATTTTTTTCATATGATATTTCACCACTTTGAAAAAAATATATTGTACATGTCGAAATCTAAGTCGATTTTCCCGAAACTCACCACTCATCATTCTAGACTCAATTCAGTACCCTATACCAAATTTCGTGCAAATCGAAGCATATAACGGAACTTTGGTGCACTATTTACCTAAAATCGGACGAAAATATATATTTGAGCTATATCTAAATCTGAACCGATTTTCACAAAATTTAACACACATCGTTCTAGAATTAATTGAGTACGCTATGCCAAATTTCGTGCAAAAATATATATAGAGACTTTGGTACAAAAAATATTTACCTTAAATCGGACGAAAATATATATGGGAGCTATATCCAAATTTGAACTGATTTTCAAAAAATTTGACACACATAAAATATTCTAGACCTAATTTTTTCATTACACTGTGCCAAATTTCGTGCAAATCGTGGATTTTTTTTCAAATGATATTTAAGGACTTTGGTACACCACTGATATTTATATCGTGGATTTAAAAAAATATTTTAAGTGCCTATTAACAAAAAATAAAATAATTCAAGCGTGAATTTAAAGAAAAAATATTTTAAGCGCGAATTAAAAAATTAAATATTTCAAGCGTGGATTTAAAAAAAAATATTTCAAGCGCGGATTAAAAAAATAAAATATTTTAAGCGCGGATTAAAAAATCAAATATTTCAAGCGTGGATTTAAAAAAATATTTCAAGCGGGGATTAAAAAAAAATAAAATAAATTTAAGAATATATAAAAAAAAAATATTGCAAACGTGGATTTTTTTTAAAGAATATTTTAAGCGTGGATTAAAAAAATATTTGAAGCGTTTATTTTTTTAAAAACCGTGGATTAAAAAAATAAAGTGTGGTTTTTAAAAAAGTATTCAAAAGATATATCTAAGGAGTATTTTTAAGCACAAGCGTAGTATAGGTGACGGGGCCGACCATATGATACCCTACACAACATCCACGAAAATCTAACTTTGTGTGGTTCTTTATTTTGAGCTTGAGCAATATTTCGCGATATTTGCAACATCTTGACCGGCTAAAGGTCAGTCAATATTACTAATATCCAGTACAGCCCTTCTTAATACTTGTCCAGATTCCCTTCACCGTGGGTTGTGTTGTGTCGGCTTTCAATTGTGGCCTACAGATCGACTCGAAAAAAAATTAAGTTTTCGGCCCACTTCATCCCAAAATTATTATCTGATCATCACCGAAAATTGTAGGCGTTGTCCTTGACCATACCTGGATCCTCTTGGAAAATTCGAAACCGATCAGCGCTATATTTCTGCCCTCTATTGTGGTTATGGGTTACTAAATAATATATGAATACTTGAACACCTGTAAATATTTAAGTGTAACTCCCACATCCGAGTACATACGACATTATAATTGGTATCAAATTTAAGGTCAACGTCTCCTCTTGGATATATTGACAACTTTTTGGGTCTATGTTCTTCAGGGGTAAATCTATACGCCATAGAATGCAAATTTTGTCATTTTTCACACAAAAATCAGGGTCCATTTGACCCGCTAAATATTGACGGATCTTTATCAAATCAGGCATGCTTTTCCTTTGGCCCGATCCCCTTCTCCATGTAAAATTTCGCAATCTTCGGGCCATAATTGCGATCTCTGGAGCGACAAAAAAAAGCAAGAATTAAGTATTTGGTGCATTTCATCCCCTAAATATTAACCGATCTTTACCAAAAACAATAGGGGTCTTCACTGGCCTGAACCCATCCTACAAGCAAAATTCCGCGACGATTGGTCCATAACATATACATATATAGAGGTCCACATTATAACATCTTTGGTATCACATTCGTTTTTTTGTTTTTATACCCTTCACCATATTGGAATTGGGAAAAATCGGTTCAGATTTATATATAGCTCCCATATATATTTTAGTCCGATTTAAGGTAAATGGTGTACCAAAGTCCCTAAATATCTTTAGATTTGCATGAAATTTGGCACAGCGTACTAAATTAAGTCAAGAATGATGTGTGTTAAGTTTTGTGAAAATCGGTTCAGATTTGGATATAGCTCTCATATATATCTTCGTCCGATTTAAGGTAAATGGTGTACCAATGTCCCTATATATCTTTGGATTTGCACGAAATTTGGCATAGTGTACTGCATTGAGTCTAGAATGATGTGTGCAAAGTTTCGTGAAAATCGGTTCAGATTTAGATATAGCTCCTATATATAGTTTCGCCCGATTTTAGGTAAATGGTGCACCAAAGTCCCTGAAAATCGTTCGAATTGTACGAAATTTGTCATAGCGTACTGAATTAAGTCTAGAATGACGTGTGCTAAGTTTCGAGAAAATCGGTCCAGATTTACATATAGCCCCCATATATAGCTTCGTCCGATTTTATGTAATTGGTGCACCTAAGTTCCAATATATATTTTGATTTGCACAAATTTTGGTATAGGGTACTGAATTAAGTCTAGAATAATGTTGCTAAGCATCGTGCAAATATCAATAGCTAGGCCGATTGACATAACGTACTGAAGTTATATAAATTAGTCTCTGGCAAGTTTCCCTGAAATCAGTTCATATATTGAAATATAACAAAATGCGACGTCTGTACCTAAATATGTAGAATATACCCAAAGTTGGAAGGATATCATAAAGTCGGCCCAGTCCGACTTTACTAATTTCCTTACTGGTTTCTATTGGAAATGTATGTCTTCTTATAGAATATTTTTCTTTGTAATTTTTCTATGGAATATTTTGCTTTCTTTTCATGGCTTTGTGAAAGGATCACCACACGCACTTGTTTCTTAAGTCTTTTGTTTTATTTGAAGTGGTAAACAAGATCAATGGGTAATTTTTATTTTTTTCCATTATTAAAGTTTCATTTTCTTTTCTGCAAATTTATAATCACAAGATACGCAACATACGTCATACAAATTGTTTGGGTTTCCCCCATTAAAAGAAATAAAACTGTAATAAAATTGTAAATAATCTATCATTGGTCATGCGTTGCCAAGAAGTACATGACGTGGAACCTGTTTCCCAAGAGCAGAAAACCCCCTCAACAGTGATTTGAGCTTGCGTCAAGCGATGCAGAACAACGACAAAACATGCGTCAAATTCGCTTGAACTTTTGAACGGCGTCAAAGGAAGACAAGAATAAAAAAAGAAATGAAACCAAAAACCGAATAACAGGGGTATTTCCCAAAGCAACTATCAGTTCTGATCTTGTTGTTGTTGTTGTTGTGCTTAACATAACAGATAAAGTTGTCATGTTGCTAACAGATGTGT